AGTCACGCTAATTGTGAGTATTATTTTTGTGCGTATTCGTTCATTCATTCAGTCTGTCCATATGCAGATATATTTTGACTATAAATATGCTGTTTAACATTCCGTTCTTGGTTTATTGTCCAAGGCTGACATTTAATGAAACGCATGTTCACTTTTTGGGACAACATGCCCCACTATGTATCTCTTCTGTTTAATGAGTAGAATAGCCTAGCTTTATTTGAGATATCAAATGCGATCTAAATTTCCAAATAAAAAATAAATAAACTAATAATAAAAAAATATAAACATTTGTTTGGCTACAACAGAAATTACCTGTACAGAAACATATAAAACGTATGACAACTCGTCCAAACATGACATTTGTAAAAAAAAATAATAATAATAATAATAAAAATACAAATAAACTTTCCTGAGACCAAATTTCAGCCTGGTTAAAATCTGCTTGTTAAAAAAATCATGAAATATATTTTGGGAACATGATTTATTTGAAATGCAGTACACCACCACAATTTTTTGAAATTCAGTTTGAAATAATTGATATATCTAAAATTCCAAATAAAAAATCAATAAAATAAATGAACAAATAATAAAAAAATATATAAACCTTTGTTTGGCTACAACAGAAATTACATGTACAGAAACACATAAAATGTGTGACAACTTGTCCAAACATGACATTTGTAAAAAAAACAACAACAAAAAAAACACCTTTCCTGAAACCATATTTCAGCCTGGTTAAAATCTGCTTGTTAAAAAAATCATGAAATATATTTTGGGAACAGGATTTATTTGAAATGCAGTACACCACCACAATTTTGTGAAATTCAGTTTGAAATAATTGATAAATATATACATTTGTGTAATTCCCTGTTACATTATAGGTACACTGATATTGGTTTAGACTTAAATTGAAAAAGAAAGTGATCTGTCAAAGTATCTGAAATGTGTCTGTATTATTCTTTTTTAATTAAACAGACATCATGCATAGTGTTGAAGTGCATCATGTTCAGGCTAGCCGGAAAAGAGGATGCTAATAATGAGGCCAGCGAGGAGGATCACCATAGCCAAAGACAGAATGACGGTGATGACCACCATGGCTCCACTGCGCGCTGGAAGACTACTGTCTATCTGCTGGTAATCAGTGGCTACGTAGAAAGACAAGATATATTACAACCATATAGGCCTACATCATATATTACAAGAAGCTCATTTGAAATTACTGTATTTTTTTCTGTATATATATTACTGTTACCACTGGTAGTCGTCATAGTCAAGTTTGCACTTGTATCATTTACGCCTGCAATTTTGTACTGCATGCTGAAAGAGAAAGACAGTTAGGATTGTTGTTTAGCCTTTGTTTAGATGGTTACACACACACAGACCTTAGCCATTATAATGAAAAACTCCCATGGATTAATGTTTTCATACTAATATAATGGTATTTACTATAGTGTATAGCTACGCCATATCCCTAAAAAACCTCACACAAACCTGACATTTGATTTAAATCAAAAGCTGATATATGACACAAATCTGTACACATACACACACATGCACGCTAACATACACTTACTTGTATGTTGTTCCATGTTTGAGGTTTTGCAGAAGGAACCCCGGCTGCTTGACGGGACAAGATGGAACGATGAAACTCTCCGTTTCTGCAGGACACATAAGTCATAATGCTTAACATTTAAACAATGTCACGTGAGACACATTCAGGATGAAAGTGATGCATACTGTTTTGAGTGGACGGCAGTTCTATGTACAGCAGTTCAGCGGACTTGTTTCCATAAACACTGCAGTTTGGCAGACTCAGCAGAAAAGAGTTTGGGAATTTACTCGCCAGCACACCATCTGTTTTAGGATCCAGCAATCTAATTCCTATTTCTAAGAAGAAAATCATAATTAACACCTTAGAATAAAATGTATTTAAAAACAATTAATTACTAACAACAAATATTATGCAACAGTAGCTTGAAGTAGTAATGTGAAACCATAAAAATATTGTTTTTACCTGCGAAGTTTAGGGGACACAACATCCCCAGGACGAAGAGAACAGCCAGCATATTGTCCTGTAGAGTCCAGGTGTGTGTACAACTCCGAATGCAGTGGATAAAACTGTGGGATGGGAAATAACAGTATAGCTAAAACCGGATGAGCAGGACAGAACGGCATGATTGAGCCAATCAGTGGCCACAGAGAACAGGTTTGTCCAGGTGCGTATAAAATAACAGCCCTTCCCTGCGTTACACCTTCAACCTGTATGCATGTTTTAACTGACACGCTAAATCCTTTATTATATTAAGACTAGTTGAGGGACAATGACTAACTAACGTTTTATGCTGTATTATGATCAAGTAACACCTGTTTCCGGAACAAGCAGGATAGTTGCTTGTAACTTTACCAAACCCATATGACCTCATGTGGAACATAAAATGAGAAATTTTCCAACTTTGAAAACAGGTGCCATCAAAGTGGTCCATGCACTATATTCCACATCTTCTGAAGTCAAAGTGTAGCAAAACAGATTTATAGGGTACGTCTTCTTGTGAAATCAAAATTGATTGTTAAAAACATATAGGCTAATCTCTTTATTGCTATTATGCTTTAGTAGGCCTGAAGTTATACTTTATCATTTGTCGTTATCATTTTTGTATTTGTTAATATCAGTATTATTTATGAAGTGTCCCTTCATGATAACTGAATGTTTACTCTTAGGTTGCATGTGACGGATTTATGTTTTGTCTAAGGATCATGTTATTTTATCAATTGTTGTTGTTTTTTAACTTATGTTTTTACATAAATTATGATTTGGCGATAAAGGGTTGAACTTAATCATTGTTTTTTTGCACTCCGGTGAAGTCATTGACTTTTAGTTACCATCATGCTGTTTTATTCGAAAATTGTATTAAAAGTTGAAATTATGATGAAAAGTTGAAATTATATATAATTGAAAAATTAAAGGTACTAATCATATTTATGACTTTATAAGTTTAGATCTGTAATAATGATTTGTATAATTTCACATTTTTATTTCATAACTATACTTTGTATTTCATAATTTCTACTTCCATCTCATAATTATACATTTTATTTCATAATTATGATTAACCAAAGCATTTTCTTCTTATGTGGCAGAAATAGGCTTTTATATGTATATATACAGTGCACATTGTGAAAATTCTCATTATGTATAAAACAATCACAAAGCACACTGCTAAAAAAAATGTGAGACCAATGTAAGTGCAAATTTTAATAACAGTCGAACAGTGAAACTGAAATATACAAGTGTTATTCAAACAAAAGAACAACCAAACAAACAATATCTAGATATTATTAATCATACATAAAATCTAAAAATGTGAAACTCCAGGAACTTCAAATGCTTTGAACAATGTTGCATAAAAATAGTGTGAAATGCACATATTCCGCAACAGGCGTAGACAAATGTTTTCCCTGCCAGAAATCCTCGTAAATGTTCAGAAACACAAAACTAGGTGTATGCCGAAAATATATTGAGAACTGTAAACTGTGTTGACCAATCTGCTAAATGTTGTCTCAACATTACTGCACATATCAGCTGTTCTAGTCTTGACCTTGAGCAGGGCCAATAACGCTCAAGAACACTAGCGTATGAAACTTCATCATAAAAGTATCCTGCTACATGATTTAAAACAACAGTGAAAAAAAGTTTATAATAAAGCAATATGTAAACAAGATACTCAAAAATCAGTAGTCTTGTTTTGGGTTACATGCGGGGGGGGTTTTCACATCAACGTTATCAATAAACAAAAAGCCAGATTTGAGCCTTCATCTCCAACAAAATTGGCACAGAGATTTTACACAGAAAGTGAAATAAGGTTTCACGCACATTAAAAGCTCTGCTGAACATGTCTGTCAGATTCTTTGTAGCAAGATTGCATATCTAAACAATGTGCCATTGCATATTAGTGCTTTTTCCCTTCGGTAATTAGCAGTGAAGCTCTATTCACAAGCCCTTTGAACATTAGATCATGAGAAGCAGAACAGTGGTTCTCTGCGTTCTGCCGCCGCATTTAGTGCTGGTTGTAAACATTACAGAATGAGTATTTCTCTCTCGTCTGGTGAGTCATGCAGTGAAGCTGTTGCCTTCAGAGGGGCTCAGTGGTGGTATGATGCGGTGTTCCAGCGATACCAGGATCTGAGGAAGAGTCAAATTCATCATTTGTTCATTTTTCTGGTTCTCTAGTTAGTTCAACTTAAGATGGGTGTGAAGTAACATGCAGTGGTTTTACCCTGTGGTGTTGAACGTCTGGTTGACCCCCTGTGCGGTCAGTGGACTGGATGTAGTGGACAGAGTGCTGGGGGAGGAGCCTCGACTGGGGCTGTTGGGGGAGGAGCTTGATGACACTGCAGGAACAACAATCAAATTTATTTATAATATGCTATTCACTATACATAGAATTTCAAAGCAGCTTTACAGAACATCATACTGTTATGTTTGTAATGCCCTAGCGCTCAAAAGTTTGATTCTCAAAAAGTATTAATGAAAATATGATTGGATATTACAGGCGAAACGTCTGAAAAAAATTATAAATCCCCCAACCAGTGTTGCCAAGTTAGGCTACTTTAACACTGTTGCCTCGGGTTGTTTTTCATGTCTGCGGTTTGAAGCGACCCCAATAACGCGATATTTAGGCCCTTGACATGCTCGTTTTACCCGGGAGCCCGGCCAAAAAACGTGTATTTTACCCCCTGCAACGCGATTTTTAACGAGAGATTCCCCTCGAAACGCTATTGGGCTAGTTTTGAGCAGCAATTGGGTGGGTTTGTTGTGAAAACCTGGCAACCCTGCCTGCAACATTCAATTTTCCTACAATGGCAGTAGTGTGGATTGTCGAGGCACCAGCTCAATACTTACCACCTCCAGTGGCGAGTGGACTGAATGAGCGGGAAGTTGAAGGCTGAAACAGGAAATGAAACCGATTAGTTGGGTGGAGAAATTGGGTGGAGAACATTTTTATGGAAAACAACATCCTTTCAAACACAAACCTTCCAAAACACACTGAGTTTGAAACATGCTAGGAGGATCAATTATTCATTTAAGATTTATTATATTGTGGCTACTTATTTATCTTATCAAGCAGAGATTTAAAAAAGCATGAAAGACACTGCACAAAAATAGAGAAAAACTGTAAAATTGTGAAATATTTTATACATATTTTATAATGTAATTTATTGTTGTGATGGCAAAGCTGAATTTTCAGCAAACATTACTTCAGTCAATCTTAAGTGTCACTTTTCAGCAATTTAATTCATCCAGTATTAATTTCTTTAAAAAAAAAAAAAAAAGTCCTACTGACCCCAAACCTTTGAACAATATAATATAATACAATGTTTAGGACTGTTCGCTAGTGGAAAATATTTCCAAAAATATTTTATTGAATAAATTTCAACTTTCCTTAAAAACTTCCTGGTTGAAACAAGTAAGATGTGTTCTGTGTGGCTCTATCCACATTGAACCAGAGATGATGTGTAATAAGACTTGATAGACACCATTTAGGTTGTGCTATTATGACGGTGTCACGTGCATTATCGATCATGTTCTCTCTCTCTCTCTATAGTTAATTTTCTCTGAACTGGATTAAGGTATTCAATGAATCATTACTAGATAAAACAGTCAGAGACCAGTTCAATAATGATAGCTCAGACTCACCAGACGAGGGTTGTAGTTGTGAGACTTTATAGGTGAAGTGGAGATGGGGCAGTATATCCGCTTCTCTTTCTGCCGCCGGTTGCAGAACCAAACCCGCACTACTTCCTTCTCCATGGATAGCTGCTCTGAGATGAGCGTGATCTCTTCAGAGTTGGGTTTTGGGTTCTGAATGGGGTAGAAAGTGTGTTTATGTATCACAGCCTGCAGGGGGCACTTTGTCATTGCTGAATGAAAATGACTGAAATGTGAACTAAAATTAAAATGAAAGCAGAAAATGTAATTATAAAACCTATTTTAAAATAGTACTACAAATATGACAGTATCTCAATGATACTAAAATACCACAGACTCACATCTATAAAGCGTTTCTCTAGTGTGAGCTTGATGTTAGTTTCAATGCTTGTTCTCTTTTTCCTCTTCCTTCCATAACCCTCCATAAGGGGTGGTAAGGCGGTGGGGCTGGTCATGGAGTCGGATGGTGAGTTCTCTGATGAGAGGGAAGGGAAGGTTTAATGTAGTCTAGTCCACAAAACAAAGGCCTACCGATGCTTGCTTACAGAGAAAACGCTAGTCAGTTCTGTCCACAAGAGGGAAGCAACATACCTGCGTCACTCAGCCACTTCTCTAGCAAGGGCTTGAGCTTGCACATGTTTTTGAAGCTAAGATTGAGAGCCTCAAAGCGTGAGATTGTAGTCTGACTGAAGTCATTTCCATACAGCTTTCCCATGGCCAGACCCACGTCACCCTGCAGCCACAACACACAAGAGTTTGAGAACCGGATCAGGTCCACAACGGATTTCAGTTTAAATAAATGTCTGTGGGAGTTTCTAAGACCCACAGACATTTGAAATGACAGGAAAAGTGATGTAACAAAATATATTATACTTTACAAATATAATTATATATATACTTTTTATTATATAATATAAATAGATATTACAGAAAAGTTAATAAAATATCAGTAATAAAAACAGTCAATAAAACAATATATATGAAATTCATCGGTCTGACAAGCATAAATACATCATACATTTAGGCTACATATGCTTGATTATTCACTGAATAAACACAAAGCACACCATAGTCCATAAAAATGAATGTATTAAATATAATGAAATGGGTAACACTTTACAATAAGGTTCATTAGTTAACTACTTTAGTTAACATGAACTAAGAATGAACAATAATCCAAGAGCATTCATTAATCTCAGTTAATGTTAATTTCCACATTTACTAATGCATTAAAATGAAAAGTTGTGCTTGTTAACATTAGTTAATGCACTGTGAATTAACATGAACTAACAATGAACGACTGTTTTCATTAACTAACATTAATAAATAAGATTAATAAACACTGTAATAAATGTATTGTTCATTGTTTGTTCATGTTAGTTAATACATGAACTAACATTAACTAATAGAACCTTATTGTAAAGTGTTACCATGAAATGTATTTAAATGCAAATGTCCTATAGATTGGAAAATGAAAAAAATGAAAAATTGTTCATATAAATGGGAAATCGGTATTATTATTAAAGAGATAAAGAGCCTTGATTAAATAAAACATAAAAACTATAAAATAAACAGTTAAATATAAAATAAGGCACAAAGTCTGACCTGAGTAAAGCCTAGTTTGATGCGTCTCTGTTTGAAGGCTTTGGCAAACTGCTCGAGTTCCTCCAGGTCACTGGGTTCATCTTGTGGTGATCCCACATGTTTAGGCACCTGTAAGTGAGACATATCCAGGTGTCCGTCCATTGAGGAGCCGGCCAGACCTGACCTGCCCATTGCCTTATGAGAAAATCAAAACTATTAGAGTCTAGGCAATCAGTTGTTATCATTTTTACAGTTTGCTTACATGCTATTTGTCTTATTATCTGATTCTTTATTTTTGTTCTTTTTAGTAATGCCCTTCTTTTCTTATGTCCTTAAAAAAGTAACTTGGTGTTATGCATTATGGTAATATGTCAATATGGCGATACCATGTTTTTGCACACTACAATGATGGAAATTCATTCAAGTACCTTACAGCACCACTTAAATACCATGGTAGATGAATATAATAACCAAATAGTCACACTGTATACACTACCAATCAAGGGTATGAAAAACAAACAAACTAAAACTTATTTAGATTCAGCTAATCGTCAAGGCAAAATTTCTCATTTTCATTTAGTTTAACATGATGCACTAAAATATCTAAAACTAAACCTGAAATAAAAATGAATAAAAATATTACTAAAGCTTTTAAATTAAAATGCAAACAGAAAAAAAATAATAATAAAAAGGTAATAGTACCTTTTATTTTTAATAATAAAATCATAATAAATAATGGGGTGACAAATGAAAGATAGTTTTGATTTGTTTAACATTTCTTGGTCATTATATAATCCTCATACTTTCATCAGTGATATTTCATAGTGTTGATGACTTTACTGTTATTAAAAAAAAAATGGTAACACTTTACAATAAGGTCCCATTAGTTACTGTTAGTTAATGTATTAACTAACATGAACAAACAATGAACAAGACATTTATTACAGTATTTATTAATCTTTGTTAATGTTTGTTAATGAAAATACAGTCGTTCATTGTTAGTTCATGTTAATTCACAGTGCATTAACTAATGTTAACAAGCACATTTTGATTTTAATAATGCATTAGTAAATGTTGAAATTAACATTAACTAAGATTAATAAATGCTGTAGAAGTATTGTTCATGCTTAGTTCATGTTAACTAAGGTAGTTAACTAATGAACCTTATTGTAAAGTGTTACCAAAAAAACACTTTTTACACTTTTAGTTGTATTTATTTATTTGCAATCTAACATTGTGATGGCTGTGATGTACCTGAGGAGTGAGTGCGAGACCAGGCTGGTGCGGGAGGAGTCCTGTCTGGGACTGGGAGGGCAAGGAAAGCAGATTGGGCTGCAGCAGTGCTGTAGAAAACAGTATTTAAATATGCATGTACTGTAGTTACATCAGACAAAAAGAATGTTCTCATTGACGCATACTAATGAACAGCATCATCCCTAATATGACCCAGTACATCCACTGACTTTGGTGTCCTGATTGGGCCTGTGAGAAGAGAAATGATGGAGAGGACAGGTGAGATCCAGGCATCAGGACGAGCTGGGGCAGAGGGTGCAGGGAGGGCAGCTCCTAAAAAACACCAAACATCAGCCATTGCTTGTTTCATCTTTTACCACAGTCCCACTTTGTGTTAACTTTAGAGGACCGAATCCCACAAAAACATGCTCAGGTCACATTTAATCCGGAACAAAAACAAAAAAGAAAGAAAGAAGAAAACATATTTTGCATAAAGTCTATTAAGATGGTTTGCATTATGACATTATTTCCCACAAAAATCTCATTACCCTAATGCTTTTTGCTTTTGTTTTAAATTTACATTATTCTTAATGGTGATATGTACTATATTTTGCTGTATTAAAACTATTTATTTCAATAAATCATTATAAATAAAAGAATACTTGAATAAATACTTGAATAAAATAAATATTTAATTTCATTTTTTTCCTCATAAATACTTGAACAATTAAATAATCTTTAATATATCACATTTGTCCTCATGAATACTTGAATAATCGAATAAATATTTAATATGTAATTTTTTAAACAAAATTTGATTGCATTTGAATATCTTTTACTGTATTATTTAAATCATTATACATTAAAAACAGTTAACAAATACTTCAAAGTTTTATAAATACTTGATTAATAATATAAATAAATATTTAATAAATTGCTTTCCCCCCCCCTCATAAATACTTGAATAACAGAATACTTAATTAACCTAATCTTTTTTCAAATTTAAATTTAATTGCATTAGATTTTAGTGTATTAAAACAATTGATTTTATTTATTCAAATAAATATACATCAAAGACTGTTAACAAATACTACCGAGTTTTATAAATACTTGAATAATAAAATAAATAAAATAAAATAAATGTTTCTCATTAAACTTAGTTAGTAAATTAAATACATTTTAATATATCACTTTTTTTCTCAGAAATGAATACATTTTAAAATTAAAATTTGTTGCTTAAAGGGATAGTTCACCCAAAAATGAAAATTTGATGTTTATCTGCTTACCCCCAGGGGAACCAAGATGTAGGTGGCTTTTTTTCTTCAGTAGAACACAAATTATGATTTTTAAGTCCAGCCGTTGCAGTCTATCAGTCGTATAATGCATGGCAATGGTAACAAAATCTATGAGAGTAAAAAAAACATGCACAGACAAATCCAAATTAAACCCTGCGGCTCGTGACGACACATTGATTTCCTAAGACATGAAACGATCGGTTTGTGTGAGAAACCGAACAGTATTTATATAATTTTTTACCTCTAATACAGCACTATGTCCAACTTCCTTGAGCGTGCGCAGGCATCCGGTGCGTGAGGTGTGTACGTGCTCTGGCGTAGTTTACGCAAGCGCCGGAAGTGATCTCTTGCGCGTATACGTCACTCATTGTTTACCCAGTGCACAGTCATTGTAGGTATGACGGCTAATCAAAATGGTACTTACTTGCGCTTATCCGGATTGTTCAAACCGACTTAAAACTAAAAGATTACGTTCTCTCGTGCGAACTCATTCGGGAGTGGTGACTTTCCACGTATTCCCAACTTCTGAGCCTGCTCGCCTGAAGTTATGGTTGATTGCTCTTCGGCTGGATATCAACACACTGTGACGAGTCGGCTG